TGGGGACCCCCCCTCAGGGTGTCGGGACCCCCCCCCAGGCTGCACAGGGAGCCCCCGCTCCTGGGTTCTCCCCCCGGGGGAGGTGGGGGGCAATGGGGTAAAGGCAGTGCCCCTGCCAGGGGTTGGGGGGCTGTGACACCCCCAACTTGTCTCATTCAAGGGTTTTTTTTGGGGGGGGGACACAGGTTGAATCTTTGAGGTGCCACCTTGAGGTGGGTCCTCAAGTGCCCCCTTTGTCCCAAGTCCCACCAGGGTTGGGGGTGGGTGCTGGAGAAGGGGGTGCCCCAAACCCCCCCGTGAGTTGTGGGACTGTGACCCCCCCATGTCTCACTCAGGGTTTTTTTTTGGGGGGGGGACGACAGGTTGAATCCTCGAGGTGCCACCTTGAGGTGGGTCCTCAAGTGTCCCCTTTGTCCCCTTCCCAAGTCCCACCAGGGTTGGGGGTGGGTGCTGGAGAAGGGGGTGCCCCAAACCTCCCCATGAGTTGTGGGACTGTGACACCCCCCCTTGTCTCACTCAGGGTATTTTTTTGGGGGGGGGACAGCTTAAATCCTTGAGGTGCCACCTCAGGGTGGGCAAATGTCCCCTTCCCAGGTCCCACCAGGGCTGGGGTGGGGACACCAAAGGGCCTAGTTAGGCCTAACTAGGCCTAACTCCCTAACTATGAGTTTCTGAGATTATTTTGGGGGGTCAACCCCCCCGGCAGTGTCCTTTGTCCTCTCCAGGATGGCAGCCTGCGGGGGGGCCGCTAAGAACAAGGTGACGGTTTCCAAGCGGGTCTGGGACTTCTTGACCAAGGAGAGCCCGGCCAAGCTGGCCCGCCTGAAGGAGGAGACCAAGGTCAGCATCATGGTGGACGGCGAGACCTCCGACATCTACGTCCTGCAGCTCTGCGTGCCCCCCCCCGGCCCCCCGGGGGGGCTCTGCCCGGCCCGCAAAGCCCTCAAAGCTTTATTGAAAGAAACGGAGAAAGAATTAAAGAAGAAAACCCAACGGCACGGCGAGCTGGTGGGTTGCGTGGCCGTCCTGGAACCCGGCCCACCATCTCTGGGTGGTGGCCGGGGGGCAACGGGGGGACGCGGCGGAGGCGGCAGCGGCGGCGGGGGGGCCACCACTGCCTCCGCCGCCACCGGTGGTGGTGGTGGTGGTGGTTCTTCTTCCCGGGATGAGGAACCGGAGCGTCAGTGTCCCATCTGCCTGGGGGAGATCCAGAAGATGAAGACGCTGGAGAAGTGCCGGCACTCCTTCTGCGAGGACTGCATCACGCGGGCGCTGCAGGTGAAGACGGCCTGCCCCATGTGCGGCCGCTTCTACGGGCAACTGGTGGGCAACCAGCCCCCCAACGGCCGCATGCTGGTCACCCGCGACGCCGGCCTCCTCCTGCCCGGCTACGAGAAGTTCGGCACCATCATCATCCAGTACGTCTTCCCGCCCGGCGTCCAAGGGGTAAGATGGGGGTGACCCCAAACGGTCACCTTGGGGGCTCCCCAAACCTGATGGGTGCCCCCCAAATTCTCCTGGGTGTTACTGGCCACCTTGGGTGCCCTCCAAACCTGATGGGTGCCCCCCAAATTCTCCTGGGTGTTACTGGCCACCTTGGGTGCCCTCCAAACCTGATGGGTGCCCCCAACTCAGCCCAGTGCCCCCAGCACCCCTGGGTGCCCACCAAACCTGTTGGGTATCCCTGGTACCCCTGAGTGCCCCCCAAATTCTCCTGGGTGTCACTGGTCACCTTGGGTGCCCCCAATCCAGCCCATTGCACCCCTGGGTGCCCCCCAAATCCTCCTGGGTGTCACTGGTTACCTTGGGTGCCCCCCAAATCCTCATGGGTGTTACTGGCCACCTTGGGTGCTCCCAAAAACTGATGGGTGCCCCCCAACTTAGTCCAGTGACCCCAGCACCACTGAGTGCCCTCCAAATCCTCATGGGTGTCACTGGTACCCTTGGGTGCCCCCCAAATCCTGATGGGTGTTGCTGATCCCCTTGAGTTCCCCCAGACCCCTCCTGGGTGTCCCTGGGTGCCCCCAAACCCTACGAGGTGTCCCTGGGTTCCCCCAAACCCCTCCTGGGTGCCCCCAGACCCTATGGGGTGTCCCTGGGTTCCCCCAAACCCCTCCTGGGTGTCCCTGGGTGCCCCCAAACCCTCCTGGGTGCCCCCTAAACCCTCCTGGGTGCCCCCAAACCCTACGAGGTGTCCCTGGGTGCCCCCAAACCCCTCCTGGGTGTTCCTGGGTGCCCCCAGACCCCTCCTGGGTGCCCCTGGGTGCCCCCAAACCCCTTCTGGGTGCCCCCAAACCCTACTGGGTGTCCCTGGGTGCCCCCAAACCCTCCTGGATGCCCCCAAACCCTACTGGGTGTCCCTGGGTGCCCCCAAACCCCTTCTGGGTGCCCCCAAACCCTACGAGGTGTCCCTGGGTTCCCCCAAACTCCTCCTGGGTGTCCCTGGGTGCCCCCAAACCCTCCTGGGTGCCCCTGGGTTCCCCCAAACCCCTCCTGGGTGTCCCTGGGTGCTCCCAAACCCCTCCTGGGTGTCCCTGGGTGCTCCTGGGTGCCCCCAGACCCTATGGGGTGTCCCTGGGTTCCCCCAAACCCCTTCTGGGTGCCCCTGGGTGCCCCGAAACCCTCCAGGGTGTTCCTGGGTGCTCCCAAACCCCTCCTGGGTGCCCTCAAACCCTACGAGGTGTCCCTGGATTCCCCCAAACCCTATGAGGTGCCCCTGGGTGCCCCCAAAACCCTATGGGGTGTCCCTGGGTGCCCCCAAACCCTACGAGGTGTCCCTGGGTTCCCCCAAACCCCTCCTGGGTGCCCCGAAACCCTACTGGGTGTCCCTGGGTGCCCCCAAACCCTACGAGGTGTCGAGTCGCCTACTTGCCCGATTGCCCCGAGGGCAACAAGGTGCTGGGTCTGTTCCGCAAGGCCTTCGCCCAGCGCCTCACCTTCACCGTGGGCACCTCCATGACCACCGGCCGCGCCAACGTCATCACCTGGAACGACATCCACCACAAGACCAACTGCACCGGGGGGCCACAGCTGTACGGGGGGG